CCTCTTGTCAATGCCCGTCCGGACCTGGGGCCGCATGACCAAGACGGCATTCATAGAGTGGTGCGACAGGAAGGCGGCTCACTGGAACGCAGCTGTGCGAGGCAGCTCTGCACTGCAAGCGGTGTTACTCACCATGGTGGACGAGGCCCGTGCGCACATCGGCATCCATGACCAGGCCAATTTCCTACTGGATGCCGAAAAGTTCTACGATATTATGGACCTGGCCGTGACGATCCAGCAGCGCATCGAGCTGGAGTTTCCCGCAGTGGACCTCTACAGCATCACCCACCTGGCCCCGAGGGTCGTTCAGTCCCACGGCGCCTTCGGAACGGAGATTGCCCCGAACTGCTCGACCGTGCCGGGCTGTGGCAAAGCCAATCGCCGTGCCGAGGCCTTCCTGCGCCACCTGACGGAGGTGGCTCGCGCGAACGAACTCGTGGCAACCGTGCAACAGCATGTTGACGACGTTCACGCTCGCATCGAGGGTCAAGGGCCAACGGAGTACCTCGTACAAGGATGCCTGGACCCTGGCATTCGCGTATCGCCCAAGTCCTTGCTCATGACTGCCAGGGCGCAGGAGGAGATCACGGTGCATCACCGCGTGCTGAAGGAGATGGGCATCAAGCTCAAGAGGACCTCCTACGCCAAGGATCTGGCACTGGGCTGCGACATGGTCCAGTGCAGGATCATCAAGACAGCCTCGAACCGCAAGACCACGGCACAGGCCAGAGCTACGCGTACGAGGATGTTCAGACGTATCGGACGTGGAGGCAGCAAGTCCCCGGGCGTCATGCTGCACAACATCAACATCAAGGCCAAATACAGGTACTCCAGTGGTCTCGGTGGCCTCCACCATCAAGACCAGGCGTACCCCAGCTGCTGACCTGGCTGGGCACACATATTGGAGGACGCTGCACGGCAACCCCACCCCTGCTGCACCTCCCCTCCGACGAACCCAAGATGGCAGCGCTCGGAGACCAGATCAAGCAGTGGTTCCAATTTTGGTTCAAGTATCCCCTGATCCACGGGCGGATCCATGGTGGCTGGAGGGCGGTGCTCAGGAAATTGATCTACATGCGGCCTTGTTTCTCTTGGAGGTGTATCACAGGGCCCACGGGAGGCCTCATCATGGCGCTGCGCGACATCGGCTGGATCCCCAGAGGCCCCGACATCTGGATCGACGATGTCGGCCAGGAGCGGCGCCGCCTGGGCGACGAGGCCGACAGCTGCGTGGAGCTCATCAGGCAAGTCAGCGAGACCATCACCAAACAACTGTGGAAACATGCCGCTTCCCAGCCTCTCGGTGCTGGCCTGGAGTCCGACGGCAACGACCTCCACGCGCTCAAGGTCAACCTTCGCCGTTTGCGAAGGAATGACCGCCACAAGGAAGCTGGTGCGCTCGAGGCGAACGCGCTGGCCTGCATCTGGTCCACGCCACGTGCAAAGGCTGCGGTCTACCGGTGCGACGATCTATGCGGGCGCCGCGCGGATGGCATCGACAACGCCGCCCGCCGACTCTACGAGTGCGCGGCCAACGATGCCCTAGAGCACGAGTGGGTCGAGCGCACCGCTGGCCTCTGCAAGTGCGCAAAAAGGAGCTGATTGAATGACGCACGGCGGCTTTCTGGACCAGGGGCACTGTCACCTCCAGCTGGAACCCCGTGCCCTTCCCCCAGAATGGAATTCTGGAGATTTCCTAGGGGTCTGGTCGGCAGGGTATCCTCCTCCCTCCTCCACTCGTCCTCCCTTGAGGTCCTCCCCAGCTACACCGTCCCCCTCCTCATGAAGCTCGCTTTTCTGGACGGTTCTGGCACTTCCAATGATGCTCGGGTGTGTCGTGTGGGGTGGGGGTGTACTGCCTGGACTCGTTGGCGGCTCTGGAAGTGGAGGAGAGCCAGCTTGGAGAGATCTGCTCTCGACGGGGACCCAATCGCCCCTTCCTCTGGACTGGCGGCACTCTGGAAGGCCCTCCAATTCTACGTGGCCCCCGCACTGTGTTCACGGACTGCCGAATAGTGTTCGACGGCTGGATCCAAGGCTTCGCCCGAGAGCCCCCGTGGCGCCAACGCTCGGCGGTGGCGTCGCATCCAGGAGGCCCTCGTGAAGCAAGGCGATACCCTCGTTGTCTTGCAACACATTGTCTCGCATTTGGACGTTGCTTCCAATATGCAATCTGGTCAGGATGTCCGTCTCAATAGGGGGGAATGGGTCTGCTGATCCATTAGCACAGCGTGGAACGGCGGCAACTGCAGCCCTCATCCGTCACCTTCTCCGAGGCCTGAGCGTGGCAGATGGCCGCGCCACCCTGGTCCATCAGAGGATAACAAGGGGTCATCTTATCACATTTCTGCGAGGAGCTCGATCGATCGGAGAGTCCTGGCTTCGGGGGCGCGGTCGGGTCGACGCGGGCCTGGCAAGGGTGAAGGAGCTCGATGCCCGATCGGGCCACGCCATGTTTCGCCTACATGATGGGGTGTGGTCTTGTACGTTGTGCCGCTGGAGTTCTGGCCGATGTTACCTCGAATATTTGTTTCAATAAGACCAGTGCCGTGGAGATGAATGCAAGCGGGATCTAAGTGGACAAAAACACCATGCCCACGTGCCCCAATTCCGTGTCGCGTGGGTGATGTCCACGGGCCTCACTCCAACGGTATGCTGAGTGGCCTGGCGTGGAGTTGGAGGGGCGCCCGATGTGCCTCTATCGCCCCAAGCAGCGGCAAGCTGGTGAAGCCCGTCGAAGAATGCCGTGGGACCTGCACCGCGTCGGGTCAGAATCGTAGCAACCGCCCCTCCCCGTGGACTCCCGCCCGGGCCTGGGCAGCACTGGCCCATCCCTCGGGCAGGCGACGGCTCCTCCCCGCGCCCCTCCTCGGCAGCAGCACCAAGGATCACAGGAGCCAGGGGGGGAGGACACGGGGGTCGGGCGGGCATGCCGCTCTCTCCGATCCCCCCTCTCAATCGAGTTCAATATCATCGGCCCAGCCGAGGGAGCGTGGCAACGTCACATCCTCCCTCTTGCGGAATTCTCTAATTATCCTCCTCCTCCTCCTCCTCCTCCTCCTAGCTCCTCCTCCTCCTCCTCCTCATCCTCCTCCTCCCCCTCCTCGCCGCGCGGCGGTGCGCGCGGTGCGCGGGCACGGGGCTGTCGGGCGGCGCGCGGGCCATGCTCGCGGGAAGCCCGAGCTGCGCCGCGGAAGATCACCCGGGGGTGGGGGGTCGGTCAGCAGCTGCGGGCCGAGCTGCGGGCGGAGCGGCCGGCGCGGTCGACGCGCGGACGGACGAGCAGCCTTGTGCTCGATCCCTGTCCCCACGGGCGCGGCCCGGGCCACGCTGGCCGATCTACCATATGGGGGCAGAGGCTGTTCAACTGGGGCGGTGGGATGGTGGGTATCGGGACGGGGACGGAGATGGGAATCGGTTGAACGATCCTGAGGAGGGGGTTCAGCAGCTTTGGGCCGAGCTGCGCACGGCGCGGTCGGCGCGGTCGGCGCGCGGGCGGAGGGGCGGCAACGGGAGGGGGCGGGCGCTGTGCGAGGCCACGTGCCGTGTGCCGCTCGGCATCTGCTGTCCCATCTGCGCTCTCTCTCTCTCTCTGTCTCTCTCTTCTCTCTGTCTCTGTCTCTCTCTCTCTCTCTATCTCTCTCTCTCTGTCTCTCTCTCTCTCTCTCTGACTCTCTCTCTCTCTATATATAAATGCGCCGCTACAATTTCACGCACGTATGATGTTACGTACATCGATGCACATAACGTGTCGATCTGGTATGTCGGCCTCTCGCTCTCTCTCTCTCTCACTCTGTGTCCGCCTACCTATATAGGGTATCCACCAACGTGCCTGGATGCACGGCGTGGAGTATCCTCACACACCTTCGAGTCCTCTGTGTAGAAACTTGGATGCTCTTTGCGGGGCCCGCAGCCCCGAATTCGGGGTCGTCCTTGGCGGACCAGGATGCCTCTGCGAATTGGTGATAGGGGAGAACATCGACCTTGAATCGGCGATAAATCGCCGATAGCTCTGCGATAGGCCCTCGATGGCGAAGCCGCACGTTCCTGGCTGGGGTGGGCTTTGGGGCCCCCATCGGCGATGAATGGGCACTGGGGGAAAGATGCGTCCCCCCCTGATCCGATTCCCCCCTTATTGTTGCCCCTGACCCTCATTCAATCCTGGACGACTCTCCATACCTCCAGAGTTTGGCGGCGCGCACAAGGGGGTAGGGGGAGGAGGGCAATTTCTTGAGAGGCTGCTTCCTAGAAGGCACCGGCCTTCTTTCTATCGATAAAGCCGGCGCCTTCTAAGAAGCGGGGGTGCTTCTCAGAAGCCTTCCCCCCTCCACCCCTCTGCGAGTTGCCGACAAAAATCACCGAAGAGTCGGAGCGAAACAAAAGGTGTCGGCGGATGTGGCGCAACGGGGAACCCTGAAATCCTGTCTGCGGGGCACCTCACGCCAGCGGGGTGTCGGTGCGGCGCGCTGGGCTCGCCCACTGCCCCCCCTCTAGGAACTGGGGCGGGAGAGATGTCATGACAAGAACGGCTCACGAATGGCCCGTGTGGAACACTGGGGGACTCTAGGAAATCCTGGGAACCTGGGAACGTATCATTATCATGACCTCTCGCTCCTCCGAAGAGCTTCCTCCCCCCCGCGACCGGCCGACCGCCGCGGAAGAGCACCGCGGCGGGGCCCCCGCGGGTGCGCCCAGCGCGCTCCGCGCGGTGCCGTGTGCTTGACCACAGGCCCCTTGGTGAGAGGGAGCGCCAGGGCCGATGGTGCAGCCAAGCGGGTGGGGCGGGCCATCGGGCCCTTATCGGCGATACGTGCAAGCTTGGGGGTCCATGGCCTGGTTCCCCCTCTGACGTTGCCCTGGTATCGCTGCCCATCAACCTCCGGCGTTCTCACGCAGTCTTCGGGCTGTTCTCCGGCAGAGCTCGGCGGTCCTCTGCGCGAAGGTTGGTGCGGTTGCGCTCGGCAAGGGGACCCATGACTGAGCACCTGGCAGTGAGGCCTTGCTTCGACCATCGCATAACAATGCTGGCTGCCAGCAGTGAGTCTTACGGCCTCGCAGCTCTCCAGGGTGCGCTGCCGCCAAAAAATCCTACAACGACGGGCCCACACGAAGGGCGACCTTGCGCTTCGCTGGCTGGCCCAGAAGATCTCACGCAGTGGCCGGCCCGTGATACAGCCAGCCACGCCACTGAGAGGAGAGGCCGTCACCTAAGCACTACGCGGCCAGCGAAGGCCTCTTGCACCGAGGAAACCGATCAGCACACCCGCGGCAACTCCTCCTCATCCACCTCATTCTGACGTTCCAGAAAAGGAGGAGGAGGAAACGGAGGAAGAGAAGGAGGAGGAGGAGGAAGAGGAGGAGGGCCCCCTTTGCGCGGCCCCGCATTCCTGACAGACGCTCTTCAGCGAAAGGCGGGCGGAGGACGGGCGCGAGGGACGCAGCCGGTGCGAGGCCAGCCGACCCTTCGACCTGGAATCTCGCCCGCCCTTCGCTGTGCTCCTGGAGGTTTCAGATCTAATGCTCTTTCTCGTTGGGCGTGAATTCGTGGGGGGGGTGGGGCGGGCGACGCTCTTTCTCGTTGGGCGTGGATTCGTCGGGGGGGTCGATTCATGGGGGGGAAGAAAGGTACACTTCTCGGGCCCTAAAGGTCCCCTCTTGGGCCTTGAAGGACCCGCTTAAGGGTCCTAAATGTAAAGCGCCCCTTTTCTGCAGCCCTCGCTGCCTCCGCATATCATCGACCCCCATTACGCGACGCCGAATCTCGGCTCGCTCCGGCGCTTCTCCAGATGCAGCCGCACATCCTATTGCGTCGACCTCGCTTTTGATGGAAGCGCACAACACTGCATGGCTTCCCCCTGGTTTGGGCCCACCTTGTGTGTGCTAGAACCGACTGGACACGAGTCGCCTAGCCCTGAGACATCTGATGACGGGCCCGTTTTCCATCACCACCACCATAAGTTGGAGGGGGAGGAGGAGGAGGAGGAGGAGGAGGAGGAGGAGGAGGAGGAGGAGGAGGAGGAGGCACCGTAGCCATTTTGGCTCAAGCCATACGGCCGAGGAGGGGCGGGACCGTCGCCGCCCGTCGGTCGCCCCGTCAGTCGTGGCTCGCGCGCGGGCCATCAAAGAGAAGAAGGCCTCCGCAGCGGCCAGGACTCTAAAGACGCCCAGGGGGCGGGAGGAGTCCTGGCATCGTCGTCTACGAGCCCTGCGTGGACAAGATCGTCTTCTGCTTCGGGTTGTTGCAGCGGCCACTCGCCTCAGCAGCCACCGCGGCGCCCAGCAGCCGCAGCGCCAGCAGCAGCAGCAGCCCTTGAGTGAGGTCTACGGCATGTCGCACGCAGCTGCCAACGCTGGCCAGAGGGAGAGGCCATCGGGCCCCGCAGTCGGCGAGAGCCCATGGCCATGGCGTGCGCAGCGGGAGCGCGGCCCCCAGCGCAACCAGCAGCACCGGACCAGCGCAGGGTGGACCCAGAAGAAGTGGTAGGGTTCGGCCCGGCCCCAGGGCCAGTGGCAGCAGACCAAGTGGCAAGAGGATACGCCCACCAGCAGACGCAGACGCAGTCGCCGCCCGACAGGCGCCGCAGCCCCAGCAGCAAGACGGCAGGCGGCCCAGCCGCAGCAGCAGGGCAGCTTCACTGAGAAGCAGCGCGCCGTGCTCGACATGAGTTGCCAGTGTCCTACGAGGCGGCGCCGAGCCACGAGTCGTGGAGTTCGCCGCCGTCCGACCCAGAAGCGCTCGACGTTTGGCGGAAGACTCGTGGCCGGCGCCTCGCAAGATTGGCAGACAACATCGCAGGAGCCCGGTTCGCAGGTGTGGCTGCCACCAACCTGGAGTACGAGGCATCGGTCACGGCGGCGAACATCACATTCGTGGTCCCGCCAGCTGCGCGCCACCCTGGAGCGGGCCAAAGAGGAGCTCGCCAGCCTCCACGCCAGGATTGCAGCGCAGCTCGACGAGGAGGCGAAGGCCGCGAGGGTCGCGCGGATATAACATGTGCTGACCCGTGAGACCAAGGACATGATGGCGTGGACCGCAGCCAGCGGCCCGCTTTTGGAGTCGGATGCCGAAGCAGATGCGGAACAGTCTGGACGGAGCGGAAGGGAAGGAAGAAGACGTGCTCATACACCGTATCCACCGACAGCAAGGCCCCCCAGGGCCACGCAGCTGCAGGGCCCAGAACCCCCGCCACAGGCAGTGGCCCGCCCCAGGCCACCAGCGGCTCCTCAGCCTGCGGGCCATCCAGAGGAGACGGCAAAACATAAGGCCCAGCTGAGGGGGGTGGAGCAGAGTCATGTGGCCAGACTGCGCAACTGCGAGCAGGCCATGGCTCAGATGACCTTGCGCGCAGTCTCCGAGCAGCTGGAGCGCTAACAGAGAGCTCGCCAACCCGAAGTGGACGACATCAAGAGTGCCGCCCACCGCGAACTCGAGCACGATCAGGCTGCATACCGCAAGTGGCAGAGCGGGAACCAACAGCACCGGCAGGACGAGGCCGGCGAATCACTGCGGCAGATGCAGCGCCACCTCGCCATGCAGGCCCAGGAGGCGCTCCAGGAGCAGAAGAGGAGCTCCAATCAGGAGATGCGAGCGCTGGCCGAGGCCGCCAACAAGGCTAGGCGAGGCGAGGAAGAGTGCCTGCAGATTATGCGCCGAGAGAGAGCGAGGGGGAGCGAGAGAGAGAGAGAGATAGAGAGAGAGAGAGAAAACAAACAAATGCCACCATACCCAAGCTGAGCTGGAGGGCGAAGCGCTAGCCATCGCCCAGCAGGCGCAAGCTTCGGAGGCGAAGCACGCAGCGGAGCTGGGCCAGAAGGAGGCCCAAGTGGGACAACAGATGATCCTCGAACTCCAGGCCAGGCAGGCGGTCATGGAGACGCATCACGCGCAGCAGGAGAGACGCCTCGTCGAATCTGGCACGGAGCAGGCCGAGGCCTACCAGCAAGGCTAGCGGCGCATCGAGGAAGAGGCCAGGCAAGCTCGTGAAGGCCACCGCCAGTGCCTGGCTGCCGTCAGCCAGGCAGAGCTGGAGGGGCACCGCGCCAGCCACCGCCACCTCGAGCAATAAGCAGAGCAAGCGCAACGCGACGCCTACCAGCACCTGCAGTGTCCAGCACGACAACGCGAGGAAGCAGCGGGAGATGCAAGCCCGCCGCGAGCAGGAGACGGCGATGCGCAACGGCGCCCGCAGGCGCGCCCTCGTGTCGAGCACGCTGTCGGGCGAGACGTTGGAGCTGGACATCCTGGACGAAATGGCGGCTAAGCTGGCGGACGAGGACGCAGTCGTGGATCGCGACCAGGCGCCAGCAGCTCAGGAGGACCACCAACGCGAGGAGTTCGAGCGCAACCTGATGACCATCCTCCCTGCCAGGACGCAGCGGTATACGCGCATGAGCTTGCTGCCTGTTCATTCGGCGAGAGATCGCACACCTCGTCGAGGCCTTCGACTACGATCGACAGCGACTTCAGCCTGCAGGACATCGGAGTCGCACCGACAAAGAGCAATGCAGCCTCACGATCGAGGGAGGCGGCGCCGCCACAGTCATTCACAACTCCACCACCATCACAGGGGCCCGTTCCCATAGAGGACTCCCAGATGGTCCCAGTCGGCGACGCCGACGACGCCGACCTTCGAGACGAGCACCCATCACCGCCCACTCCGACGCCCACCGACCTGGCAGAAATTACCCAAACGATCGACGCCAACGCGCCAATCCCGACTGAGCAGCAGACTCCATGGGCGACGCCGCTGCCGCCCGTGACGCAGCTCCCAACCCCAATGCCCAAACCAGACTTGCAAAACGCCAGCACCCCACCACAAGCATCCTCATCGACCTGAGCAATGAAGGGCAGGTAGAACCAGCTACGCCACCAAGGATCCCCATCGCCGACACCACGCCCACCGAGCCTGTCGACCCCGAGTGCCCACCGCCCAGGGTCCACATGGGGACTCCAGGGAGGGCGCCCTCTGAGCCCCCGCTCAGAAGCTCGATGCGACGGGAGACAAATTGGGACGCGCCAAATGTCGGCCCCGGAAGGTCAGAATCCGCAACATGGGCGATGGCTTCGCTGACCCTGGTGACAGGCGCCCCAAGTTCCTCGAGAGCGGCGAGAGCGACGGATTCGATGTCGCCTGGTCTACCCAAAAAAACTGAGCACGAGAGCGCAGGCTGAGGTGCAACTGGCTCAGCATGGCTCCCACTACCCGACGCCAGCTAAACCGCGGGACCACGAGCCCTGCTTCTCCGATTCGTGCAGTGTTGAAGCTACGCATGTGAATTCCTGTGACCTGCGGCTCCTGACTGGCCGAGAAGAGTCATGCGCGACCAACCGTTTCGCCACCACGGGCAGGGTCGCGGACGATGTAGGGCCTTGGGGTGGCCATACATCAGACATCAGTGACAGCTCCACTAGGGAGTGCATCAGACCCTCGCCCACCCGCCACCTGCGCACCCACGACAGTCTGCAACGGACCAGTAACCAAGGAAACAAAAAACCCAAAACAAGGCACCGGAGCGACTCCCCTCGGGCCTCACTGACGGCTACTGGCCACAACATCAGGGGAACGATGTTCGCAGGCCAATACCTAGCCGATCACAATCCAGCTGCACAAATCGCCTCGGAGAGTACAAGACCTCGACGACACAGCGGACCAACGTCTACCTGAGATACTCCTCCAGGATGACATCGGCAAGTGCCCATCCAAACGAGTGACCAACAAGCCGTCTCAACACTCACCACCGATCGCCTCGAGAGTGCAATGCCTCGGCGATACCCCACTCCGATGCCCACCTGAGCGACTCCCTCAGGACAGCACTACACCACCGCAACCCACGCAGCACGGTGCATCTGGCCTCACTGACAGCAGCGACGAACGCCGACCTACAGCACCACGCCCACCTGAGACAATCCGTCAGGACGGCATACGACGCCTGCAGCCCGTGCGGCAGTGTGAGCAAAGCCTCAGCGGCCTCCTCACATACCACAACCGATCTCCCAAGGAAGAGATTGACAGCCAGCCTCCCGCAGCCAAGCCAGGCGGGATATGTGGGAACAGCCCACTCCTGACAAGGCCTCGCCCGGGAGTCGCAACCGACAGGCGACCAGCTATTTTAACCCAAAGACGCCCGAGCAAGGGGGAGACGCGCCCCGACCTACAGAAGCTGCATCAGTACCAGCTCGTTCCAGAATCTTGGGCGGCGGTGGCGGCGGCACAAATAGTTTAACTTACCGCGACGGAACGTCCGAGATCGCAGCAGTCTGCAACAAGGCAAAAAAAACTGTACCAT